TAGATCCTTGCCTCTCCTTCTGAAGCGGGGGGGGGGGGCAAAAAGGGAATTCTTGTAATACCTTCTTGATTACAAAAGAGTTCATGCCTCTTGCAGGGAGACAAAAAAAGGGAAGTTTTTAAATGTAGGGAGATGAAAGTGTGAGCGCGTACCTGGTTACACGCAGGCGCCCTGTACGTGTGTGTGTGGGGGAGTCGCCTGCGTGTAACCCCACCGCGCGTAACTGCTGACATTTTCAGCAGCGACACGGTTACCTCATTCAACGCATTTTACCATCCCTAGTAAAAATCGTCATCTCTGATAGGACAGACATGGTGCATCTCAGGGGCGAGCTGCATCATGGGACAAGATATTCTCCAGCGGTGGCAAGAATTGCGCATGCCCGGACTACAGCGTAGCAAACAGGACCGGGTGTCTAGCAGGAGAGAGGCCGCCGAAGCGCAGCCCTGAATGTATTAGCTTGCCGATCTGCCGTGGAGGATAGCCACATGTTTTAAGCCCTGTCCTGCGTGCATTCGACTTTAAGATGCGTAAGGTATTGCTCTCTGGATTGCTCCAAATGAGACGGTAGGCAGAGAACGAAAGACTAAGTGAAAGATAAGGACAACATAGAGGAGACCCGAAAAGGCTGATCTGAATCCAACGGATGATCCTGCAAACCAGCGGAGAGTTGCAGCACGGAGAAAGAAAATCCAAGCTACGGCGTGTGAAAGAAACCAGCGGCTAGAATGGGCAAGGTCTGAAGAGGGTCTCTCACTCCAGCAGGGCTGCTCAGGTACCGATCAAGCAGAACCCCCCTGGCCTGCCTGCTCCCCCCATTTATACCCCTTGTAGAGTGGTGTGGTTCCATGGTTTAACGTGGCATTATTCTGGATTTCCATCAGCACCAGGGAGACTGGAATCACCCCCACGGTGACTAAGTGAGAGAGGAATTTGCAAATTAACTGACGTGCTTCCAGCACTCTCTAAAATCCCTAGGTACTTTATATATAAAAAAAAAGCAGGAAACAAAAGGGTTTGTGCAAATCACGAGTGAAGCCCAGACGTAAAGCTGGACTTCAGGCCAGCTGAGCATTTCAATCTCACATCCCAGGAGTATTCCAATGCTTATGCTAAATTCCAGAGGCTGAATATGCTGAGCCAAATTTGAACATTTACACCTCTGACCATCCAGGGTAACGGTGTTACCCCAGGTTTATGAAGTGTTTCTGAGCGCGGACCAGACCCTTGGCAAGGTGCAGTGAAACGGTACTGGCAGGGCGCAAAAGACTGCGGATTAGCGAGTCAGTTGTGAAGAGCCTTAACACCCTTTAGACCCCTGTCAAGGCGCTGAGGGGAGGGGAAGGGTTGCACATTTCAATGAGTGACTGTGTTGTAGAGAGAAGGCGTGTGTGTGTGTGTGTGTGTGTGTGTGTGTGTGTGTGTCTTGGCATAAAGGACCCTCAGTGTCCCTAGGCCAGGCGGACTCACTGGAAGGAATACACTTTGGTCATGCTAGTGAAATAGCCAAAGGACTTTCGCCAATGTCACTGAGCATGCTCAGTACAAGCAAAGACGCAACTCCGGAGTGGCACGTGAGCCCCATACTCCCTCCCCCATTCATCGTCTCTGTTCTTTAGGGACTGCCCGCTAACGGAGTGGCTCCTGTTACATGGGACATCTAAGGCTTGATTCTCATTTACACTAAGGCCCCAAATCTTGGAAGTCAGTTCCGATTTTCTAACAGCCTGTAGAACGGGGGTGGCCAGCCCGCGGGTCTTCAAAGAAAAAATTGGGGCGTGCGCACCTGAAGTTCAGCTCTTAAAAAACAAACAAACAAAAAAAAACCCTGCCCCTTTAAGGTCAACAACGTCTTTCCCTTGGCTCTTTGCGCTGTATCCACCACTATGTTGGCTCTTCCTTCTCCTCATGCCAATCGGGGGAGGTCCTGGACAATTGGAAAAAGGCAAATGTAGAGCCCATCTTTTAAAAAAGGGAAGAAGCAGAATTCCTTGGCTGCCCTTGTCGCTCTAAGATTTAGAGATGCTCTAAGATCCCTGAGGCAGAACTGTCGCCAGTCGAACTGGAGCACCACGAATTCCCATTTCTGCTCCGTGGAAAGGACCAAGCCGTCACACGCTTCTCTGTAGAAAGGCAGATTTTTGGAGCAAGGCACTATTCCAGAGGACTGGTAGTACCCAGGAAATAAAGTGGAGGACTGGGAGGGTTCCCTAGGGATGTGGTGGAATCTCCATCCCTAGAGGTTTTTAAGTCTCCACTTGACACAGCCCTGGCTGGGATGATTGAGCTGGGGTTGGTCCTGCTTTGGGCAGGGGGCTGGACTCCATGGCTCCTGAGATCTCTTCCAGCCCTGGGATTCGATGATTCAATGAAACAGCAGCCAAACAGAGACAGGCCTGGCTCAGTCTGCAGCACACTGTAAGACTACCCCTCCCTCCTCTTGCTTGATACAACTCTAGACACTAGAATAGTTACAGCCTCTGTGGCCTTCAATAGTAAGAAGGTTTAATAATAGCGGCTGGGTGGGAACAAGCCATCCTCGTTCACAGCCCTACCGCTTATCTTCAGCGCAGGCTATAAAAAGAGCACTACAACAACAGAAAATGACATCACGGGACAGCAGAGGGAGCTGGATTCAGCCAGACATCCGCTCCAGATTTACATGAGACGCCGGGTCAGAGCTCACACTGAGCTCCATAAGCGACATTTACAATTTCTCCGTTAAAATCGGAAGCCTGTGTCTGTGTGTCTATTTTCTAGGGGGCAGAAAGAACGGCAATAAAATGGCTAAACCAAACTCCACTGTGTTTACCTCTCAAGCAGCTGTCCTGCCCCTTAGATCTGCCATCCCCTGCATCCTGGACAGGCCGGTCGCTTGAGCAGTCGTTACTACAGCTTGAAAGTCCCTAGTCTAACACCTCGGGACCTGGCCAGTGCCGAACCCCGGGGGGTCAATATTGTCAAGCAGCATCAGCACCACTTCCACTGCCCACTGGGCTCTGAGGAGACAGTGAGGGGTCAATCAGAGCCAAAGAACAGCACAGAACACGGAGAGCCAGGCCTGGGGGCTGAAACAAACTTCATGGGACCACGGGAAATCTGAGCTCACCCATGATAAGTGAACATCTGGCTAAAGGAACTCGTGCCGGACCATGGATATTGCCAGACTAGAGTCATTCAGCTTATCAGTCTTCTCCTCCAACCAGCCTTCATGAAACATGGGCCCTGCTCTGTCAGCTGCTTAGTGGGCCAAGCGACCCGGGAGCGGCCCCAGCGTGTCTGCACCAGCCACGCACCGAAGCCCCCCCTCCGCTTTCAAGGATGCCGAGGACCCTGACAAAGTTGACAGGAGTTCAGGTAAGAGGGGCAGAGTGGTCTGTCTTCGGCGCAGGCCCCTCCCTGTGCTGGCAGAGACTCTGCCAGGTTGGGGAAGGAGGAGTTTGCCTGGGAAGGGGAAAAGAGGCAAGAGATTTGAAACGGGGGAATTCCCTTCCCCCTTCACGTTTCCCTCAGGAGGCGAGGCTCCATCCTTTGGTGGTATCTACAGAGGGGTGATGAATGTGGGTGTTGTAGTGCCAGGAACCTTCTGCGCTTGGGAGAGACAGGACGGGTGGTGCTTGGGGAAAACATCTGACCAGGAGCCCTGAGCAGAGGAGGAGAGGTCAGAAACAGCCCCAGGCCATGGAGTAGGAAATGCCCCTTCTCTCTCACAGCCAGCGGCTTGGCTTGAGACGCCCCTTCTCAGCAGGCCAAAGCAGAAGCCCCAAGACAGAGAATATCTTATTGCCTCCATAAATCCATGGTTCACCCACATCTTGAATACTGCGGACAGATGTGGTCGCCTCATCTCAAAAAAGATCTACTGGCATTAGAGAAGGTTCAGCAAGGGGCAACCAAAATGATGAGGGGTTTGGAATGGGTCCCATATGAAGAGAGATTAAAAAGACTGGGACTTTTCAGCTCAGAAAAAAGGAGACTAAGTGGGGATATGATAGAGGTCTATAAAATCATAACTGGTGTGGAAAAAGTGAATAAGGAAAAGTTATTTACTTGTTCTCCAAATATAAGAACGATGGGGTCACCAAATGAAACAAACAGGCAGCAGGTTTAAAACAAAACAAAAAAAAAGGAAATTTTTCTTCACTCAGTGCACAGTCAACCTGTGGAACTCCTTGCCAGAGGATGTGGTGAAGACTAGGACTTTAACAGGGTTCAGAAAAACGCTAGATAGATTCATGGATTCATAGATTAGGTCCATCAATGGCTATTAGCCAGGATGGGTAGGAATGGTGTCCCTAGCCTCTGTTTCTCTGGAGGTGGGTGACAGGGGAGGATTATCTGTTGTGTTCCCTCCCTCTGGGGCACCTGGCATTGGCCACTGTGGGCAGACAGGACACTGGCCTGGATGGACCTTTGATTTGACCCCGTCTGGCCGCTCTGATGTTCTATGTTCTTAAGAAATCATTGCAGGCTTGGAAATGGCTTGTGGTTGATTTGGGCATCTCAAGCATTTGTTTCTCCTGAAGCCCCCCCTCCCCTCTGGTGGATACTGGAAACATTTCCCTGACCTGTACTTAGCTTACAGCACCGCTGCATGTTATTCTGTGGGGGGAAGTGCATGAGGCTAGAGGTGGAAGGAGGAGCTTGTGTCCTCTAGACCACCTTGGTCACCGATGATTCCCTGTGGTGGATGAGGATATGGAGAAGAGACTGTCACTCTGTTTTGCCACACCAAAGGGAAGCTTCTTTGTTGCCTCCTGCCTTTTTCTCCTCTCTCTGTCCCCTCCCTTCCTACATCCTCCCTCCCTCCAAGTGTCTGAATATCCCTCCTGTTCCCCTCTCTGGACCTTCTTACTCACAGTCTTCTGGGCTGACAGCCCATTCCCATCAGATCCCTCCTTTAAATTCCCTTCTTCCTCAGGGATCACAAAGCAGGCCTTGTCCCTCAGAGAAAGGCCGAGAAACCAGAGTGAATAAAAACCCTTGAGGAAAACCCAAATCAAGATGGCGGAGCTAACGAGGCCCCTGCTGAGAGTTACGGCTGGGGAATATTGCTCGTCACCTCGCTCCGTCACTTCCCATTTTTGTATATGTGACTATTTCACCTTTAAAAACAGGTCTCTCCCTCGCGCTCTCTTACACCTACACACACTCAAGAGAGCCAGTGTCCCAGCTGGTAGTATCAGATCTTTGGCAGCAAAAATTCCTCTCTTGATTCACTGTCAATAGCCTCCCTCAACCAGTTGACAGGGGCCAAAAATTACATGGCATTAAAGTGAGCATGGCGTGACTCACTCAGGGCAGATGGAGTCCATGATAACCCGGTAAGCCTGCCAAAGTGCTTTTACCACCCTCTGAGAGGAATGCAGGATGTTCACTGAATTTTTTTTTTCCTCAAAGGAGCCCTCAGCTGAAATCATTTCTACTCACCGAGGTGTCTTCCGAGCAAGAAGCGATGATGTTTTCAATAAAAGGATTCCACTTGATATCAAGCACGTTGCCCTGGTGACCACAGACTTTTGGATAGTTTGGTTCTATCCGACCGGTCTGTAAGGGAGAAAGACAGGATCAGCAACCATTCCAGTCCCCTTACGAATGAAAATCTTGTTCTGAGAGAAGGCACAGCTTATTTGCATAATGCAGATGTCAGCAAAGAGGACAGGCATTTTAGTAACTCAGTTCTCTTTCTCTGGCTTGCTTCAGGGATCAGCTTTAATTTTCTCCTCCTTCTCCATGGTCAGCATATGCCCGCTTAACCGCGCAAAACAAATCTAAACAATGCTGATTTCCTTTGGACATTACCAACAACTCCTAGCAATTTAGCAGCATGGCCTCTCATGATCAAACAGTACTATTGAGAATTAGCTCGGGATACAGAGGTGGCTTTGAGGAGAAAGCAAGCTTTCTTTGCGTTCAGACTCTCCTCCAACGCGCAGATACGTGACAGTCCCAGCGAAAGATGGAGGCTGACATTTTCTGTTTGGTGCGTGAGATTGATTTAGTCAGGGGAGGGTGGAACTCACCAGAGCAAATTGAAAGAGTAAATGCATTAGCAGGCAGGGTTGATTCACACGCCATTACAAGGACAAATATGTATCTGAGATACAAAAATAGATGCTGGCTGTAATGACCTGGACTAGATATCAGCCATGCTGTGCTCAGTGCCACGGTGCTGTATTTTTTCTTGCTTCCCAGAGGACAAGAGACTGCTCTTCTTTCTATTCTAGGCCACTCAGCAGCTATCACTGAATTATTCCTAACTAAAGAAACAAATACAACAAACGCCTTTTCCTTTAGTGATACAACTAACTTCAATCCCGCAGTGGAATGCTTGCTTTAGCAAGACTCCTTCGGGGGAAGTGGCTTCAGGGTTTGCATTTCTGAGGAGTCTGACGGACTAATGCTTTTATGCATGTCATCGTACATGCTCACCGAGAGAGGCTGCTAACTGCATTATGAGTGGAAAATACATTAAAATTAAATGTACTTACTGAGTGTCTGAAATTCTCAACTACCTGTGGAAGTGACTAAACAATTTGGGGAAAAGGAAACAATTGGCTGTTTCTGTGAGGAATATTTACAAGTAATAGAGATGCAGCCGTGTTAGTCGGGTCTTGCTGAAACAAAAGACAGGACGATGCAGCACTTTAAAGACTAACAAGATGGTTTATTAGGTGATGAGCTTTCGTGGGCCAGACCCACTTCCTCAGATCAATAACTGGGTCTGGCCCACGAAAGCTCATCACCTAATAAACCATCTTGTTAGTCTTTAAAGTGCTGCATCGTCCTGTCTTTTGTTTCAGCAAGACCCGACTAACACGGCTGCATCTCTATTACTATTTACAGTAGCATGAGGGTACAATAATGAAACCGCCAATTAGATTTTGGGATTCTTCCCTCTCTCCAAACTTCTGAAGCCTTAGGCTAGGTCTACACAGCAACATTATTTCACAATAATGAGCGTTATTTCGAAATAACACAGTCCACGTCTACACAGCTGGTAGTTATTTCACCAAAATACTGTCAACCTGGAGGATTTCTTATGCTGACTCCTGTAACCCTCATTTTATGAGGAGTAAGGAAAGCCAGAGTAAGAGTGCTCTATTTCGAAATAAGTGCTGTGGAAACAGCCCCAAAACTCGAAATAAACTATTTCGAAATAAGCTACCCAATTGACGTCGCTCAATTTGTGTAGCTTATTTCAAGTTGAGCCCTGCTTGTCCATACTGAGCATGGCAAGTTTTTTTTTAAATAGTCTAGACAACCACTTGCAGTAGCTTACGGAATGGGAACAGTGTGGATTTTAAAAAGGGTAGTTACCACTTTGCACTATAGAGATGTGATTTATCTCTACCAGGAGTACAAATTCCTATAGCAAAACTTTTAGAAATGGTTTTTTTGCCCCCTAAAGACGAGCAACTTTTTTTGTGCAAACCTGTATTTTGGAGGGGTTTATTTTGCTTATTTGTTGCTGAAACATGCAGATTTGGGATGACCCAAATCTCACCCATGAATCTGAATCAATTTCTGAAAACTGTTTCTGTCAAATAAAAAGTTTCATAAACGGTTCATTTCAGCTTCTGAATGAAAATCTGACTTTTCATCTTGGAAAGTCGCTCGATTACATTTTAAAACCCTGTTCTCAAAAGATTTGAAAACACCAAAAATGAAAAGAAAAGCTTTCTTAAAAAATAATTTTGTTTTGTTTTGGGGGGGGGGGGACCCAAAAGATTTCTCCCCTCCTCACCTTTTTGCTCCTTCCACTAACGAACAAGTCAATTATTTGCACACCCTTATCTTTCCCCTGTATTTGCAGAGAGAAAATGGAAAGATTTTTAAAATGCACAGTGCTCCGGGGCACATCCACACAACCGGGCTAAAGCCGAAATAAGCGACAAAACTTCAGCCACATCAATTGCGGAGCTTAAGTAGAAAGAGCTTATTTTGGCGTTTGGCGCTGTCTACACAGCAGGAAGTCCGAGGAAGAGCACTCTTCCTTTGACTTCTTTTACTCCTCATACAATGAGGGTTACAGGAACCGGAGTAAGAAGTCCTCCCGCTCGATAGTATTTTGACACTGTCGAAATAACTGCTTCTCGTGTGGACACGGACTGTGTTATTCCGGAATAATGTCAGTCGTTCCGAAACAACACTGCTGTGTAGACGTAGCCTTGGTGACCACAGCGCACAGATCTATTAATGGCGGGGTGTTTGTGTCCTCTCCTCAGCGGAACTGTAATATATTCCCCAGACTTCGCTTACTGGATGCACCAAACTAGTCTACAGTCTGCTCCAACGCTGTCTGAGTACTGCAGCCAAGCGACTGTTTGTTTGGTCTCTTAATTAGGGCGTAAGACGAGCAGACATTTCTATTTCCTTTGTTCTCCCCTTTTTGTAAAGCCATGCTGAAATGTCACTTCTTAATGCCTGGGCTTCTTACGTCCACTAGGAGGGGTGTTAAGCATTTCAAGGCTTGAAAACAAGCTAGGTCAGAGCGCTAAACACACTAAATATTTAATAGCACTTTCAGCACTGACCTTAAAGTATTTAGTGCCTGGCTTCATTGGATGTGAACAAAGCAAGGCACATGGGTAAGCCCTTGCTTTTGGTAATCTCCCAGCAAAGCAAACATCTGCGAAGCATATTTGTAGCCTCCCACGGTAACGGCTCCTCAAATACCCAGGCAGCTGGTATTTTGCACTCTATTGTAACCCCAGCGGAGGGGGGCATGGGAGAGGGCCTTGTTTGGTGTGAGGGCCGGCAATGGGCTTCCCTGGGCGCATGGACAACTGTGAGGGGTCGGACCCTGATGTGCCGAGCGTAGGCGTGGGCTCTTCAGATGCTGCGCCCTGGGGAGATTATTGGAAGGGATTTGTCCCCACTGAGCTAGTCTGGGGAGTCTTGGTTCTGGCTGTGGTGGGGTCACTACTTCCTGGGGCTCCAGAAAAGAGACAAATGCCCCTTATGAACCAGTCCAGCCTGGGGTCCAAGACACAGAGGGGAATCTCTGCCCTACCCTGGGAACAAAGCCTGGTACAAGCAGCGGCAGTGACTAGATTCCAGGGTGAGCCTCGCTCGTCCCGGACTCTCTGGTCCAGCAACATCCGCGGTGCAGTAGGAACCCCAGGCACATCTGCCGCCCTCTATGGTGGGCCGCAGAATCCTGGGAGCAGGTGATGCCCCATGCAGGCCCAGCATGGGGGCTAGGGCCGGGGAACCCCAGGAGCAGCTGCTACCTGCCATGGGGACAAGGGCTGGGGAACCCCGGGAGCAGCTGCCGACCAGCGCGGGGCTGGGAGCAGGGAGCAGAGCCCCAGGAGCAGGAGAGCCAGGCAGGTGGGCCGGAGGGGATCAGGCTCCAGGTTCTCCGGGGGAAGCAGCCAGGAGGGGGGCCCTAGGAAATCCCTGACACCTGATCTCTCCTGGTCTGGCTGTGACGGCGCGTTGGGGTTTTCCCGTCTCCTGCACCCCCGTAATGGCACAAACAGATTCCACCAGCCAGTAGAACAGAGGGTGCTTATTGCTTATCCAGGATACAGCACAGCACAGATGTAATCTAGTTACAGGGCAGGCCTAAGATGCCTCAGCCCCCCTTGAGATGGGGGAGACTGGGCCCCTAAATCCCAGCCCCTTTCCTTAGGCTGTCTCCTCCATGCTCCCAGAAAGAAACTTAACTAACTCACACCCAGCCCTGCCCCCAGCCAGGGCTCCACTCCGCCTTCTTCCCATTGTTCCACTCCCTGGGAGATACTGGTTGGACAGGTTCGAAAGCCCCCTTGCATAAGGACTCATCCCCTGCCGTGCTGGGCCGAGCTGCAGCCATCAGCCAGTGGAGGTCACTCACAACCCACTGCCCAGCATAGCAACCAGCAAGGTACCCCCCACTACGTCACACTGGCAAATTCCCTTGTTCGGGATCACTCCGGTCCTGAGGGTGCCGGACCAGGGAGACCCAACCTGTAGTAGAACATGAATGGCCATTTCTAGAGGTGTTATCAGCACGTAGAGCGTGCCAGGAAGGGAACACAATGTCAACCACTGTACGGACTCATAAAATTCTACTCTGAGGCTGGGGGAAGGTTGACTTAAGATACACCAGTCCAGCGATGTTAATTACCATCCACACAGCAGGAGGTCGACAGGCGCTTCTGTTACGCCTTGTGAGGAGCAGGACTACCAGCGCCGACAGGGGCGTCCTCACAATTCGATTTAGCAGGTCTTCACTAGATCCACTAAATCGAACCTCAGACGATTGACTGTGGCAGTGTCAATCTTCTGCGTAGTGCAGCCATGGCCTCAAAGATTTAACAGATTCACCAACACTACAAACGATTGCTGCTCGTCATTATTCCCAAGGGAAATATGGTCACGTTCGAGAGAAAATATCAAGTTCAGCTAGCATGCCAAATGTCACTGAAATCTCAAATGTGGCCAATTTACACAAATGTCACCTGAAAAACCCTATGAGACATCCAGTCATTTACTGGTGATGTATCAGGAAGATGTGTGAGCCCTGAGATGCGGCTCTTATCAATATCACGATCATG